TAATTAAGGTAATTGTGTGATAATATGAAGTTTGAAGAGATAGATTTTTTTTTGTTTAAGTTGGGTTAGCTGGGTTTTGAACCCTGATCTCCCACATGAAAGTCCATGACATAGACCATTAGACCAATGGAGCTGTGGCAGAAGGTGGTGGCAGGGGTTGGTTTGTATGTGTGCAGAAAGAAGCCACATTGCCAATACAATTATTGACACTAAACTGCATAATATTACAACAATGGAGCAATATTAAGATAATGATATAGTAAAACATCAAAATACAATCATATTAGTATTGTAAACACTTAAGTATTGAGATTAAATATTAAAAAACTATGGTACAGTACCAAGTTGAGTACAGCGGGGGGCAGTATTGGACCATTACAAGGCCCCATTGACTCCCATTTTATGAATTTGGAATAAAGTTTCAACATTAATATTTCTAAAACAACAAGTTGTACAGGTACCAAAAGGCATAGCAATCATTTGGCACAGGACCTTTACTGATAGAAATTACAATGGCAGCTGTAGGACAAAGTATGCAGGAGCATTGGACTTTCAGAATGAACTTTGACTAAGTTCAAATGTGTTTTCTATACCAGCTTGTGCCTGTCACRTCAGCAGGTGTTTGTAATTAAGGTAATTGTGTGACAATATGAAGTTTGAAGWGATTTTTGTTAAAGTAGCAGTAGCTGAATTTAAACCCTGATCTCCCACATGAAAGCCCACAGTGCTCATCATGAGACTACAGGAGATGAAGCAGTGGACAATCCCAGGGATTGGATTGTATGTATACAGAAAARGTTTACCTTGCCAATGCAATTATTGAAACTTAAGTGCARTATATTACAGCAAYAGGACAACATAAAKACAGTATTACAGTGAAACATCAAAATACAATCACATTAATACTGTAATCACTGAAGTACTGAGTTTAAATATTATGAAACTATGGTGCAGTACCATATTGTGTAGATGCAGCAGGGGGCAGTATTGGACCAATACAAGGCTCCAATGACTGCCATTATAATTTACTTAACATTAATATTTCAAAAACTATAAGCTTTACAGGCACCAAAAGGCATAGCCATCATTTGGCACAKGGGCTTTACAGATATAAATTACAATGGCAGCTCTAGGACAAAGTATGCAGGAGGAGAAGCATGGCAAAGTTGAGATGACTTGGATGGGAAACGAATCACAATAATGTGCATTACATTGGCAATGCACACTGACAAGGTAACACAGTGTTCTCTCACAGGAARGTGCAGGTGTAAGGAGAAAAAGCTGACAGGTGTGTCCGACCTGTGTAAAAGCAAACATGACTACGGTGAGAAATTCATTTGTACGTTTGGTAAAACTCACAATCCGCAGCATGTTGCATCAAAATTCAGTCTTCTCTTTTTTGTGTTCCGTGACAGTGATCAAAGCGAGCGTGCTGTCTGCTCACGACAAAGGCAGTCACGCTGAAGTGAGGGTCAAAGTTCGTAAGGTGCTCCGATCAGGCCAGGCGGCGCTGCAKCACGGGACCACCAGTTTGTATCCTCTGTCCTGGACCAGCCGAGGCTCTGCCTGCCCCGTCCTGAACCCAGGTGACCTCCTGCTTCATGGGTTCTTCAGCAACAACAGACATAGTACTTAACAGCAAACATTAAGGAATTTATTTATTTGTATTTTTTTTAAACTCAGGTATGAAATACCTGCTTGCAGGTCCAGAGGAGCCTGGATCCGGCCGTTTGCTGGTCACCAAGCAGAGTGTAGTGGTTCCACTGACACCTCAATTAGCTTTATTTATGTCGGAGAACATGAGGAACGGGTGTCCCGGGTCCAAAACGTCAGAATATAATTGAGAGAATCTACGGGATGTGTTATTAAAACTGGAACATTCCTGAAGAAATACTGAAGAGTGGAAACAAAGCTGAAGCCCAAAGTTCCATCAGCTGCTGAATGATACTCTTACATAAGGAAAAACATCCACATTTTGACGTATGAAGTGTATAACAAGTGGAACCAAGCTCAAAAGAAATAGCGTATTAGGGTCACCATGGTAACTGCACACCTATATCTCTCACTCCCTGACAGTTGATTGAAGTGAGACAGACAAGAACAAGTTAAGCGTCAGTCAGGACTGTAGATGAGTCTGACCTACACTGCACCAGCCAACGGTTTTAACAATAGACCCCATATTTGAGGAGGGGGCTCCTTTCAAAGTGGGGGTGTCAGGACATGCTTACAACTCAGAAACTGTTCAACATAGGTGCTTCAGATTTATTTTGTTGTTTAGTTCTGATGAAGCTCTATCCATCAGGCCCACCAATCAG